CAACACGCACGCGTGTTTGCATGTATGTGCACACACACACACCATAATGGAACCCAGCAACTGCTGTTAGAAAAAGTAGGGAGGAAAGAGGGAACAGGAATATGGTGGAGGGGGGTGAATTCTTTTAAAAGTGCTCTCTATGTATATATGGAAATAGCACCAAGAAACCCCTTCATGCTACAAATATATGTCCATTGGGAAAATAAAAACAAAAATGGGGCTGGAATGTGGCTTAGTGGTAGAATGCTTGCCTAGCATGCACGAAGCCCTGGCTTGGATTCCTAAGTACCACACCACAGAAAAGGCCGGAAGTAGCGCTGTGGCTCAAATGGTAGAGTGCTAGCCTTCAGCAGAAGCAGCTCAGGGACAGTGCCCAGGACCTGAATTCAAAATAACAACAACAATAATAATAATAATAAAGCAAAATGTTAACCTGCACCTTAAAAAAAAAAAGAGGACTTGGCAAATAAAATCCTTAGAAACTTTCCTAGGAGTAAGGCGTTCTAAGCAGGGTGTGAGAGGTCTGGGTACTATCTCTGGTGTGGCAGGAAGGACAGATAGGACCTGAAAAGAAAGATCTTTCTCTTACCATAACTGGCCTGACTTGTTTTAAGTAAGCCTGCCTGGCACAATGATATTTTGCTCTGTCTTTCTCTGGGCAGCCTCATCAGATTTTCAGCCCATTTAAGGGAAGTTGACCTTGGAAGCAATGCTCTGGGGGAAATGGCTGCTGCGGACATCCTGCAAGCCCTGAGGGCCAGAAAGACAGGTTACAGTTTTATATGTCATTTTATACGTTTCGCTCCTGCTGTCCTATCTGCTCACTTTCATCACCCTCAACTGTTCACAATAAGTCTCGTTGCTCTTTTCATTTAAATAGCAAGCCCTGCCAGGGCTGTGACCACCGTGTCAGTGTGCTCCGTGATCTTCAGGGTTCAAGATCTTTTATGATAGTTTATGATCTAAGTAATGATTTCTATTTATTTATTTATTTTGGTCAGTCATGGGGCTTGACCTCTGGGCACTGTCCCTGAGCTCTTCAGCTCAAGGTGAGTGCTCTACCATTTGAGCCACAGCGCCACTTCTGGTTTTCTGGTGGCTCACTGGAGATAAGAGTCTCATAGACTTTCCTGCCTGGGCTTTGAACCTTGATCCTCAGATCTCAGCCTCCTGAGTAGCTAGGATTACAGGTGTGAACCACCAGTGCCTGGCTATTTTTTGCTTTTTTTAAAGGCCAATCACATAGTTCTAAGAGCTCATGATCACCTTTTCATTTTAGACAGCTAGAGCTGGTTTGCACTCTGCTCCAGCTGGATTGATTGTGCTGGATTTAATGTGGACTTAGTTGAGTCTCAGCACACAGAAGGCAGGCTTGTGGTGTGGGTTTTCCTGGCACTGCAGTGACTTTCCCATTAAGTATGCAGTAGAAGGCAGCTCACCATCACTGTAATGCAGGCTAACCGTGAACCCTCAGATGACTGGATAGGAAACCATACCCTTGAGCACCTATTTGGAACTAGAAAACATTTTGCTTGCTTGGGAAATGTGTTAATTTGTATAAATGTGAAGGCAATTACAAAACACCCATCGGAAAACACAAGTAGTCATTTTAAAAGCATTAAAAAGTAAGTGATAGTTTTGGAAATCAGGTCCCCCCAAAAAATTTAGTGGGATAAATTATTACAGGCTTTAATGTATTTTTCTCTTGAAATAATTATGGGATGTTCCTAATGGAACACTTCACTTTTATATTCTGACTTCCAAATGAGGCTAACTGGTTGGATTTCACAGGGAAAACTTCCTTGCTATTCGGCTCTAATGGCACCATTTTAAAACATTAAGAGCAATTAGTAACATCTCTGATGACAGAAGTAAAGTTTTCCTATTGGTTGTCTTTGTGTTCTTATCATTTGCTTAACAAGCTAATTCCTAATTCCATCTCAAACATGAAATACAAATTAACAGGCTCAGATCTCTCACTTGCCTACCAAGAAGATTCTCCTGCTTTCCTTTTAATGGTAGCCAGTGCATTTTATTGAACCAGTGCAGCACAAAAAAAAATAAGGGAAGGGAGGCATTAAATCACAACTAGAGTTTCATGCCTTTGTCAGTTATTAACCACACATACATTCTCACAAACACACAACACACACTTACAAAATGTAATGAATATTAACAATACCCATAGGTCAAAGAATAGCCATGGAAAAGGTCTCACACTAAAAAACAACATACATCACACATGTATAATTATCAGTTTCAAATACAAAAAGCAAACCTAAGCTACCAGGGAGTTCCTGATGTCCTCCCCTCAATGAGGGCTTGAAAGCCTTAAGACCCAGGCCCCCAAAAGAGTGGTGATCTGTCCTACCAATTTGTGATTTTGTTCTTCCTCCATCCCTCTCAGGAAAACTTCCTATACTAAAAATTACAGTCACTCCCCAGATCTCTTCTGATACCTTCACATCTATTTGGAAAAACAGCAAGAAATCGAAGACTAAGACTGTTCATAAGAAGAAGAAAATGGTACGTTCTCAAATGTGTGTAGGTGACAAATAGCCACCAGGGGGCGCCATATGGGGCCTGGGTCTCAGCTTGGGTTGATAGCAGAGATTTTGCACTTAACAGGTTGAGAATTTAGGCTGTGGTTGCACTCCTGTCTCATTCAGATGGATGGTGATTGTATCAACAGACAGTGCCAGGCACCAGCAGCTCACACCTGTAATCCTAGCGACTCAGGAGGCTGAGATCTAAGGATCACATTTCAAAGCCAGCCAGGGGCAGGAAAGTCTGGGACTCTTATCTCCAATTAAGCAGAGTACATGTGTGTGAATATACACACTTATAAATAATAAAAGAGCATTGTTCCATCTTAAGTAGTGTAACTGTCTCCCTCCTCAACCCCTCCCCAACCCAAATCCTAGCTCCCACAGGTCAATTGTGGACCTGAAAGGCAATGGACCTTGATGAAGCCCAGGATGCCCTTTAGGGGGGAATGAATGATGCATGTTTGTTCTCTACTCCTTAAAGAACTTCCTGCTTCTTACAGAACTTCCTGTTCATTATTCCACAGGCTAAAACCCGAATATAGAAGCCACATTTCTGTTTGGATGCCATCCCTTCCGATGGCCAACCAGGCATGCCCACAAAGACATTTCTTCTGCAGTAGTATTTTCCATTGTCATCCATACCTTTCCAAGTTTTAAAAATCAATAACTTTTATGAAAGTTGGAAGTAGTGTTCATACTCTCTATTGCACTTGTCATTCCCTAAAATGTGGGTTTTACAAGTAGGTCTTAGAAAGGAGCGTTCTTCCCCTGGGCATGCAAAATTTACAACTTCAATGAAGTCATACTCTATCCAAAAAAGACAGCACTTTCTTTTATAAATGTACATACAGATTAAATAGGAATGTTTAGGCTGGGCACTGGTGGCTCATGCCTGTAATCCTAGCTACTCCGGAGGCTGAGATACGAGGATCACTGTTCAAAGCCAGCCCTGGCAAGAAAGTCCGTGAAAGTCTCATCTCCAATTAAAAAGCCAGAAGTGCCTCTGTGGCTCAAAGTGGTAAAGTGCTGGTTTTAAGCAAAGAAGCTCAACGACAGTACCCAAGGCCAGAGTTCAAACCCCAGGCCCAGCAACAAAAATAAAAATCTGTCAAGCACCGGTGGCTCATGCTTGTAATCCTAGCTACTCAGGAAGCTGAGATCTGAGGATCATAGTTCAAAGCCAGCCTGGGCAGGAAAGTCCATGAGACTCTTATTTCCAATGAACCACCAAAAAGCTGGACGTAGAGATGTGGCTCAAAGTGGTACATCGCTAACTAGCCTCGAGTGCTTAAAAGGCTCGGAGGACAGCGCCCTGGCCCTGAGTTCAAGCCCCCAGGACTGACAAGAAAATAGAAGTGTAAATCCATCCCGGGAACCCCCCCCCCAAACCCTTGAGAACCACTGAAGCAGGTCGATGGCTGCTGTAGCCAGGCAGCATCTACAGAGATACCAAGCACAAGCTGTGCACGTTCACATTTGCTGTTCAGAGACAAAAGGCACAGGTTAGCAGGGTGCTTGGTTTTCCCTCCCCCCTCTCTCTCTCTCTTGTCAGCATCAGGTTTTTCTTTTTAATGATTCTCATCAGCATGCACTGACAGTACAGGGCGCACGTCCTCGGGTCGCTGCCCTCCACGGGTGCCGGGTAGCGCCCCTCAACCCCCCCAGGGCCCGGCTGTCCCGCGTCCCGCCT